AGCGAGTCACAGACGCAGGAGTATAAGAAGTCGAAGGACAGGCAGAAGATCAGAAGCAAGGAGACGGATGTAGGCAGGAGAATCCAGAGGGCGAAGCCAAAGTCGATGTCAGAGATGCGGTTGGTTGACAGAGCCAGGAGGTCAGAGATCCAGTGAGGCCCTGAAGGAGAATCCAAGACGGAGTCAGGTCACAGTTCCAGGTTCCACACACAGTGGGGCTGACAGGCTGGATGAGGACAGGTTAGGAAATGGTTTGGTACAAAAGCAGGCAGAGATCAGCGTTCACTAATTTTTAATTTATTTTTTTCAAAAATGTTCTTTACAGATTTATATCTTCATTTTTTAAATTTCTGTTTTTCAGATTAGATTGTATGTATTTTATTCTTATTATTGCTTTTTTTGAGATCACATTCTCTTAACTCCTGGGGCGGGCTTTCCTCTACAGTTAATGTTTGAATTGGGCTTGAAGTGAGAAAGAATACAATTTAAATGAATGCCATTTTTAAAACTCTAAAAAACAAAAATTTGAAAGAAAAAAAATCCATCTTCTCCCACTTCATCAATCAGGGTCACGGTGGGGCTGGGGCCTATCTCCAACCGTCTATGGAGGGTGAACCCCTGACAGGTCGCCAGTCCATCGCAGGGCAACCCAGAGACAGACAACCATGTGTGCACACATCTAAGGGCAGTTTAGAGAAGCCAATTAACCTTTGGATAGTGAGAGGAAAACGGAATACCCAGGGAGACACCAGGCATGCACAGGGAGAACATGCAAACCCTTTGCAGAAAGACACTGAGTCAAACCCTGAATCTTTTTGCTGGAATGCAACAGTGGAAACAGCTTTTTCTCAATAAAACCGTTTTTTTTTTATTTGTGGATTTATTTATTTTTTGTTTGTTTTTTGTTTTTATTTCAATATACAAAATGTGTTTTTTTTTTTTTTTTATTAAAAAAGGCACGCTCTTTGCTTCTGTTCTGCTCAGGTCTTTTGCAGGCCCCTCCAGACGTGGTGCACGGACATTTCTGACACCAGGTGCTAAAGGCAGAAAAAGGACACCTATTTCTAAATATATTTATGAAATAAAAACAGCAGGATACATATTAATTCTTTCGCATTCTCTCTTTTTTTCTGTGTTATTCTGCAACAGTTGCTAATGAAGTGGATCTATGTAGTGCTGCCCATAATAATCAGGAGTGATTTACTGAATCTCCATAAAGCTGAGAACACAGGATACATCATGGCAAGGATTTCTGACAGAGTGGAAGCTTCCCCAATAATATCAATTAAAATAAATATTTAATGGATCTCTGTTTTGCATGAACAAGCTTTGTAATAAATATATTTTTTTAGCAGATATTGCATCAAAATGTTCCCTCACAGAACATGTTTTACAGAAGCTTCAGCCCAGAAGCTATGTGGTGTTTTCAGCGGCATTATAATTGTTAAGCATTGTGGTTCATTTTGCTCCAAGCATCATCATGGATTCTAATTCCTGTCTAGGAGAGTGGCCTTCAGTGAGGAATGTGCAGAAGCTCTTTGCCGACTCCGGAATAATCAGAGCTTTGTTAAACCTGCGTCGGTTTGGAAGTGTCCCAATATTTAACTCAAAGGAGGCTATTAACGGGGCCAGGACAATCCACCAGACTCCATCGACCCTCTTCAGTGGTTGACTCACCTGATCTAAATCCTGTAGAAATACTGTTTAGATTAGTTGAAGGAAATATTGCATAAGTGAAGACCCGATAATCTGGATTATCAATAAGAAAGGGTTTAAACTTCCAGAGACAGTGGCGGTTCTAGACCAAATGTACCAGGGGGCCAGGAGGGGGCCAGCGTTGTTTGCATGGGGGAACAAAAAAGCATGAAATAAAAAACAGGACAAGGGATTCAACTAAATTAAGAGATCTGCATAAAGTAAAATTTTCATTCAATTAGGTTTAATTAAAATTCTATTTCTTATTAGGTCAATATACATTCAGGATTTAGGCATTTTACTTATTTTTCACTTAATTTAAGTTAAAATTACCATTTTTTTTTTATAAAATCTGAATAATAACTCAAGAAAAGCTGATAAATTCACCTGTAAAAAAATATAGCATTAAAAAAACATTTAGCAGATGAAAACTGGGATCCTATCTGAATACCACTGAAGCCTCATTATCACCTTACACTCACCGGCCACTTTATTAGGTACCCCATGCTAGTAACGGGTGGGACCCCCTTTTGCATTCAGAACTGCCTCAATTCTTGGTGGCATAGATTCAACAAGGTGCTGGAAGCATTCCTTAGGGAGTTTGGTCCATATTGACATGATGGCATCACACAGTTGCCGCAGATTTGTCGGCTGCACATCCATGATGCGAATCTCCCGTTCCACCACATCCCAAAGATGCTCTATTGGATTGAGATCTGGTGACTGTGGAGGCCATTTGAGTACAGTGAACTCATTGTCATGTTCTAGAAACCAGTCTGAGATGATTCCAGCTTTATGACATGGCGCATTATCCTGCTGAAAGTAGCCATCAGAAGTTGGGTACATTGTGGTCATAAAGGGATGGACATGGTCAGCAACAATACTCAGGTAGGCTGTGGCGTTGCAACGATGCTCAATTGATACCAAGGGGCCCAAAGAGTGCCAAGAAAATATTCCCCACACCATGACACCACCACCACCAGCCTGAACCGTTGATACAAGGCAGGATGGATCCATGCTTTCATGTTGTAGACGCCAAATTCTGACCCTACCATCCGAATGTCGCAGCAGAAATCGAGACTCATCAGACCAGGCAACGTTTTTCCAATCTTCTATTGTCCAATTTCGATGAGCTTGTGCAAATTGTAGCCTCAGTTTCCTGTTCTTAGCTGAAAGGAGTGGCACCCGGTGTGGTCTTCTGCTGCTGTAGCCCATCTGCCTCAAAGTTCCACGTACTGTGCGTTCAGAGATGCTCTTCTGCCCACCTTGGTTGTAACGGGTGGTTATTTGAGTCACTGTTGCCCTTCTATCAGCTCCAACCAGTCTGGCCATTCTCCTCTGACCTCTGGCATCAACAAGGCATTTCCGCCCACAGAACTGCCGCTCACTGGATGTGTTTTCTTTTTCGGACCATTCTCTGTAAACCCTAGAGATGGTTGTGCGTGAAAATCCCAGTAGATCAGCAGTTTCTGAAATACTCAGACCAGCCCTTCTGGCACCAACAATCATGCCACGTTCAAAGTCACTCAAATCACCTTTCTTCCCCATACTGATGCTCGGTTTGAACTGCAGGAGATTGTCTTGACCATGTCTACATGCCTAAATGCACTGAGTTGCTGCCATGTGATTGGCTGCTTAGAAATTAAGTGTTAACGAGCAGTTGGACAGGTGTACCTAATAAAGTGGCCAGTGAGTGTATTGTTTTTAAATATTTAGTAAAACAGAATTTGCAAAGAAAAAAAAGTAACAACGTTTTTTTTTCAGCACAGGGGCCAGGACATGAGCTACAGGGGCATTGGCCCCCGGTGGCCCCTGTCTAGATCCGCTCATGTTCAGAGATCCCATCCTCTGCCCACTCCAACCTCCTGAAATGTTTTGGAAAAAGCCTCTAGCATCAGTTGGGTTTCAGGGAGTTTGGCTAATGACTCTGAAAAATCCTTCTCTACTAAATACAAGCATTTTATTGTTTTCACATCTGCCAGGGGTTTTTGTGATGGAGCAGCAGTATCAAGCTTTCTGGATTAGCAGGTAATTTAGGCCAGAGGGAGTATCTGTTAGAAAGGGGCCCTCAGGTATTGCTGTTTCAGTTGTGGACCAACTAGTCCATTCAGTGAGGTCCTCATGGTTTCAGAAATAGTTTTAGTTGTTTACTGGCTTCGCTTGGGGGAAGATGTTGGCTTTTTACTGGAATCCTTCAGAAACTGGAAAGGTGACCTCCTGACTCCCACTTTTAGGAAGGGGAGGAGGCTGCAAATGTCCAACGGACTTTGGGGGAGTGACCCTCCAGGAGGGGGGGTAAAGCTGGAGGCTGGATCGGTCTTATAAAACAGCACCGCCGCAAATCTGAGGACAGGTTTGAGCAGCCAACATCCGTGGCTGTCAGAAAACTCCAGCAGCAGCAGCAGGGACCGCAGCTCCAGGTCCAGCTCCAGGTCCAGCTCCAGGTCCAGTCCAGTCCGGTCCGGTCGTGTTGCCTCCGCAGACATGGCACCTGTCCTCCTCACAGCGCTCTCTGCCGCCCTGTTCGCCTCAGCTCTGCTGATCGACACCACGGCGGCCGACCTGAAAGACACGTAAGTAAAAGGCCGTCATAGAAGCCGCAGCAGGTTGTTATGGTAACAGAAGTTCGCAGGACAACCAGGTGCACGTGACCAGACAGGAGGAAAACAGGAATGTTGGCCTGTGGTGTTTTTGTTTGCAGAGTTGGAGGTTCAACGCTTGATTGAATTCCTTAATCTGCGGAAATAAATTTAGAAACATTCAGATTATCTCTGAAAAAAAAAAGAAAAATCTGAGGCAGGTCAATAAAAAAGGGCTGCTACAAAGGGGGGGCAGGTGGTGCCCTCATCCCCACCTGTTTTATTTGCTTATTTTAATGATCTAATTGAGGGCATGTCTATAAAGGACTGCTCGCCCTAAAATCAACTTTTTCTTTTGCTAATAACAGAAGTGTCAAAAGTATTTATTCGAGTGTTTTTACTGCAGTAGAAGTAGAAATCCTACTTTTTAAAAACACTTTTGTAGAAGTTAGTGGATCAACTTCAGCTTTTACTCCAGTAAAGGTGTAAAAGTACAATTTTTAAAACTAAATAAAGTACAAAATTAAAAGTAGGCTAATGCAGATTAATTATTATTATTTTTTAATGTAATATACCTAATGGTAACAGTTTCAGATTTAACTTTGCATCATCTTGTAAAACTATTTTTTTGGGTATGAGGTCAACAAAAAGTTGGTGCAGGACCGAATCCAACTACAAAGAAAATCATTTTCTGGATGAAACTAATATTTTTGAAGATTGTTTTTTTATTTATTTTTTTAAATAACCACAGGCCATAACCAAAAAATAGCTTTAATGGAACACCACTAACGAGTCTAGTTTTAAAATGTAAGGAGAAGTAAGAAGTTGTCTAAAAAATAACTACTGTAATAAAGTCTAGATAGACAGCATTTCTACTCAAGTATTTCTACTTTGATCAACTTAAAACTCCTGCACTGCAAAAACAATCTGGACATAAGTAAAACTTTCTGAAATTACGTGTATTTACCCTTAATTTGAGCAGGTAAATAAGATGATTTGGAAATGGAATGAGTGTTTTTATTCTTAAATTAGATAGTTAGATAATATGCACTTGAAATAAGACAAGGCATTTTTTTCTTCTTATCTTAAATGTAATGTATCTTTCAGACTGTAGAGTGCGCTGCACAGGGCCATTAACTGCTGATATCTACTGAACTGTTTCCCACCAAACCTGTAGGGGGAGCTCTACAAATAGCCCCTGGATTAGGGAGGAAGAAGAATGCTAGCTCCTGTTAGCTTGTTAGCTCCCAGCAGTTAGAGCTTCTACTGAAAGATGGTGCTTAATCAGCTCTTTATTTTAGCTTTTCAGGAGTTTAGCCCAGTCTTTTCATTGGTTCGCTGCTTTAATGTGGCAAATAAATGTCAAAATGTGGGAATTCGGGAGATTTGTTCTCCGTCGCGCCTGCTGCTAGCATGTTCATGTGCTAAATAAAAATCATTCTTGCCCCTTATTCTATATAATTTCTAACTGACACTTCCCCCTCTGGCGGTTTGAAACATTGTCTTGCTCCATTGGCAAAGTGTCTCACTTACCTCCTCAATTAAAGAAAAATATAACTAATTTTAAGATAAATTTATTCATTTAGATTTAATTTTTTGCAGTGTGTTAAATGTTCTTTTTCTGGGTGGATCATCTAAATAAGTGGTCCTTCTAACTGTCAGTCATTGTGGTGATGTGTTTACGTAAGGCCGTCCTAGGTGCTCGTTCCCATTTTCTCACCGGTGTTCAGTCTGACATCGTGGAAAAGTCGCAAATCATTTGGAAAATAAGCTCTTATGAGTGATGCAAACAGCATCTTTAAAGCAGAGCGAGGAATGGGCTCGTGCGCGCTCTCGCAGGCGTTTAATAAACGGTCCCTCTCTGGAGCGGGTACAGGGTTGTGCATGTGCTTTTTTTTTCAAGTGGAGAGGGCGGGTCTTTTAAAAAATTCGCAAAAATCCTCCACTACACATTAAATGTACGACCAGGTTTTCATCGTTATAAAACACAGGCCCCACCCCGGCCCCACCCCCTGGTAAACTGTATCTAGAGCCGCTGTTCTGTCAGATTGGCATACCCATGTTCAGTCAGCATGCACAAGACATCAGATCAATGGGCGTCTATCCCTTTAGTCATGTACAAAAAATATATATATATATATTTAAGGCCAGATCACCATACGTTTCAAAAAACACCAAAAAGTAAGTAATTAAAATGTGTTTTTTAGGATATAAATGGCTTTTGCTACTGAATGTTTGACGTTCAGCTGTGGGTTGTACGTATTGGAAGCGACTGGGAAACCAGTGGAAGCTATTAACAGAGCGGTAGGCCACATGGTGGGGTCAGTGGATGAGGAGACGAGAACAACTGTCTACAAGATGTGCCTTTCAAATTAGCTATAGAACAGAGTAGGGTTTTTTTTTGGTTTGCTTTCTTTTTCGGGGCGGGTCTCCATGGCTGACGAGCTCTTTCTAAGCATCTGAGAGGGTTTAGTTTAGAAGAACGGGACTGATAAACAGAGTTTAACTTCTGGCCTCGACAGGATTAAATACTTTGCTATAAATTAGAGCAGGAACCCTTTAACAGAAGTCCTCCTAAATGCTGTGCACTGCAAAACACCATTTCTTTTTAATTCATGTAGTTCTGCTTGATTTGAACAGGTAAGTCAATTTACCAAAGGAATAAGATGATTGACTATTGAAATATATATTGTAATAAATGCATAATATCTAGTTAACTTATTTTTAATGGTTAAAAAAATTGGTTTAATAAGCAGATCATCTCATATCTTTGCTCAAATGAAGGGAAATTTAATTATTTTAGGAATTATTTACTTTTTTTTTACTGTAGAAAGCTCTATTAAAATTACTTCAGCTTTTATAAAGTTTGGCAGTGGTCATATTTAACTCATTTTTATATGCAGGTAGATTGGTCTCAATTTTCACAAATACATACATTAGGGATGCACGATATAATCGGCCCCCTATCGGTATCGGCCTTAAAACTGAATATCAGACATCGGCCACCCCACCGATA